TGTCACTGAGGGCTGTGCAAATACGAGTACAAATTGTACTCTGAAAAGAACATAACTCTTCATGTACTCTAATCGACCCCCATATAGTATAGTGTACTTGGGAAAAAACCTAGGATTACTTGGTATGCACTCTCATGTACTCGGAAAAAATCCTAGAATCACTTGATATATACTTCCATGTACTCGGAAAAATATTTAGATCCACTTGCTATGTACTCTCATGTAGGGGTTTGGGTATGAGTGGTGTTCAACATCGAGTCATGTTCTTTTCATCTCTCAGCATCACCCCCACATCGACAAGCACCCGTACATGTCCACATTCACCCACACACACCAATGCCACCCACACTCACACCCGTCACACTCACACCCATACCACCCACACCCATACCCATTCACACGACACATTCACCCACAGAGTCATGCTCTTTTCAGAGTACAATTTGTACTTGTATTTGCGCATCTCTGCTGTCAGTTGCACGATGTTTGGATGAATTATCGAGACACGATTGGCAAATGCATTTTGCCAGCCTTTCACCGTATTGTTGGATCGAGGTACACCAGCCATGACACGATCATGAATATTCCATAATTTGTGATCAAATTGAGGCTTCTTTCGACCAGATCCTAAGAATGGCGAATATATTTCAAGTTTTTCAAGGACGAAGAAAAAAATTACCTCTTCTTTTGGATTCACTATTCCAAGTTTTTTCGAAGTAATCGAGTAAGTCGTCGGTGTCGTTGTCGTTGTCAAATTGATCGACAGTTAAGGGGTCCCCCCTCAGAAATGATTTCCCACTTAGAATGGGTCTTTTGAACTGAAAATTTCAGAGATGAGTGATCCTGAAGAGATACGCCTCTGGTAAAAATTTCAGCTCTATAGGTCGTACTAGACCGGATTTCCAGCGATTCATAGGCCATTTTTGATCTTCAGGACAATCTGGATAACTTCGTCGCAATACGAGGAATAGAACTTTTGGTGGTTTCAAATTAAACCCAATGTCAGTACGTAACTATTCATCAGCCAGAATTTTTAAATTCCATATTGTTCATTTTTTATGAATATTTGAGTAGGCATGTCTTAAAAAAAGCATAAAAAACAACGATCTGACGACACTAAATTCCACTTTTCTCAGCTCAGGAATCGATTTTGAAAAAACTGGTCGATGAAAAGTTTCCTCTCATTGAGACCTTCAAAACAAAACAAAATGTGTTATATCTTGAACCGTGCGTGAGCTATCTCAATTTTTCTGACTGAAAATCGTGTTCTGAGCAAATCGTTAAAGAAGTTTTAGAAATGATTTTTTTCTTCAAATGCAGGAAATAATGATATATTGATAATATTTATGTGGAATTTTTGAAAGCACGCAATAGATAGCCTAAGCTAGCACTACAGGTCGTACTATATGACATAAGAATGTTTATTCGATACTGATAGAAGTAAAAAAGCAGTCTTCGCAAAAATCATAAAAACCGCGAAAATCTCTCCGAAAACCGGGTAGTGAGGTGGAAATCTCCTACGAAAGTCTGTAAAAATTTGGCCTTTTTTTAAAAATTTATATATATTCTGAAAGAGCAAACTTCGCTGCATCTTCCTATGATAAAAATTCGACTTCGATTACTTTACCGAAAAATGGATTTTCTGAGGGGGGACCCCCTTAAGTCAAATGCAGCTATAACTTCATTCACTGCAACAAAGGGAAGAACAATTAATTCTTTTACATTTAAACGAAAACGCTCATCTTCTCTGTATTTGGTTGCCACTCCTTTGTTTTGAACTTGCCGCCATATCGCTTATGAAAAATGAAGATATCCCATAAGAAACATTTTTATTATTTTTATCTTTTCTGTGAATAGAGTAGAACGTACCTTTGTATAAAACGTTAGGTAACATCTCTCTGACTTATTTGATTGTACCAGTTTTGATATCAGTCATAATTGAGTCAGGTTGGAAATTGCCTTGTTCGAACACTTTTTCGACGAAAAAATTGTAATCTTGATTGCTTTTACCAACTAATAATTCATAGACGAGAGGAATAATTGCATTAGTCATCATGGCGTGTAATGTAAAGAGTTGATAAACATCATCCGAACACACCTACATCAAATATAACCAGAAAAGAATGAGATACACATTTTATTGATAGTTCACCTTGAATGTTCCATCAGCGAACCAATGTTTGTTTTGCTTCAGAATAGATATATTACTTTTCGTCGTAAAGATAATTAATTTTTCGTCTCCGTGAAAGATGAAATCTTCATCACGATATGTCTTTCTTAATTTTTCTGGTAAACGACCATTAATATCGCTTGCTTCAGGTGTACGTTATTCTCGAATTGTGAGCATGAATGTGTCATTTTTAGGAAGTTCAACAGCGGCATTCAGAGGATATGTTTGTAAAGCCGAATGAAAAATTCAGCTGGATGATTCATCTGTCGTTGCAGGACGAGTTTTAATTTCGTTCTTCAATTTAATAGCTGGAATATGGTCAGGTTGTGGAGCATAGCAGTGCAATCTTAGTGATGAGAGAAATGCGTCCATGGATAAATTGGTATGACAGCGTGCTTAATTGATAAATGATTTTCATTCGAATTAATTGATTGACGTTCATAGTGATTTTATCTTTACAATCTCGATTCTTACATCGAAAGATCAATTTTGTTGTTGTGGTACGTTCTATAATGTAGATGTAACTTTCATGAAGGAGCATTGGTTTTCCTTTTACAGACAGGAGTTTTTCGATTTGTGACATTTTGTGCGAACAGTTGTATGTAGTAAACGTTGAAGTTGATATATGAAATGTATTTTCAACCGCATCAATGTATATTTTTATATATTCTGGTCACATAATTAAGAACATTAGATCAGTGTTATCGGGTAGCAGACATTTCACACCAGGTCATTCCGAACTTCGAACATGTGCCCGGGTGTTCGGAAATGATTTTTTGCCTTAACAAATTTTTGACGAGAGTTCGTAATCCTTTTTGACCAGGAGATCGTAATTGAAAGAACAGGGAGATCGGAAGGCGCGACCGGGAATTCGAAATGGAATGATCAGTACTATTTGTGAAGTAGTGTCCTGGGATCGGGATGAAAAGACCCGGTGTTCGTAATTCAATTTACCAGAAGATCGTAACTGATTTATTCTGATATTCGCAACGGTTATAAAAAAATTTTTAAATATAAAATCAGGAATGGAAGTCATTCACTTCGTACTCTCGTAATTATATGAACACCGTCTGTCTTTCTGTGTCTCTACTCTCAACGCTGTAATAACTGTGTAAGATGTTTGTATTCTTTCTCTTATGATAGAAATCTCTGTGTTTTATCAAAATTAAAACAAAAAAATGTTTGCTCTTTCTTATTATTTTGTTCTGTTTCTTGAAATATTTCTTCTTTTGTTTGTTTGTACTATTTCTTGTGTCTTTCTCTATATCATCATCTAACGAGGAATATTTCCAGGTGTTAGTTCGCTTTTCAGTCGAGATTTCGCGCATCTTGTAGCTCTTAGTCAGCTATGTCTATGGTAAAAAAATAGTTCGGGTTTCTGGCTTGTTTCTGAGGAGATATCGAGCTTCTACTGAATACTCTCTATAGTACGCCCACATTGACAGCAAAGCTAAACTTTTGAATTTTGATCTGAAACTCTGCCTACATAAAGGCCTCAGCTAGACTAATTTGCATAAAAAAAATATCAGAAGTTTTGAATAAAGTCTCTTCAAGATACGAAGCTTTGAAAAAAGTGCATACTATATATATTATTTATGAAAAAGGACTGTATCTTGTTAGTTTGATATCTTAGAGAGACTTTATTCAAAACTTCTGAAATTGCTTATGCAAACTGATCTAGCTAAGACCTTTATGCAGGCAAAGTTTCAGATCAAAATTCGAAAGTATAGCTTTGCTGTCAATGTGGGCGTACTATAGAGAGTATTCACTAGAAGCTCGATATATCCTCAGAAACAAGCCAGAAACCCGAACTATTTTTTACCATAGACATAGCTGACTAAGAGCTACAAGATGCGCGAAACCTCGACTGAAAAGCGGATTAAAACCTGGGAATATTCCCTTGTAAGTTCTTTTTTCTTTGCATTGAAAAAGAGTATTGTGTTCATCAGGACGGTGTTTGTGTACTGTCTTAGAATAAAAACTAGTGAGTCATTGAACATCTCTCAAAGAAGAGCAAACATGAACACATTTTTGAACATCCTGTCTTTTTTCATTACAATCTCCCTGTTTTTATTATTACGATCCTCCCGGTCATTTTCATTCCAAACTCCCGTCAAATTTCAGAGTTTTATCTCTAAAAATCAGCTGTCGCTGCTCGTTACGATCTTCTGGACAACTTTCATTACGAACACCCTGTTTTTTATTTTTGATCGATTTTGTCATTCCGAACTGCCGTACACTGAATTCCGAATACCTTGTCTTTTTTCTTATGTCCGGAGATCGTAACGAACATCTACTACCGGAGATGGTAATAAAAAGCTGGTGCGAAATGTCCCTTTCCCATGTTATCGTTTGTCTAGATTATGTGGAAATTCATGAACCGATTGACAAGTCTAATTATTTTTCGATCACTTCAGCTCTATGATGATGTCATTTGATTAACATTTTCTATTGATCCGTTTTCTCAATTGAAGCGACATGCCTTAGAACAATCTTTTATTGTTATTGTACACATCTCTTACAATTGTTCATTTCTTTATTTTATTTCGACTGATTATACAAAAGAATCAATTAAGCGAGATGCCACAAATCGATCACAACGAACAAAAAGCGACGAATTGTACTAGTACCTGCTGTTTTATAGATAGAAATAGAATGATACGTCAAATAGAATCTAAACGATGAAAAAAAATTGGATATTCTTCACAAATCAAAAAGAAAGAAGACGTTTTCTAGATATTTGTTTGAATAAAATAGTGGACAATGCAATTTTATTGGAAAATGGAAAATACACACACGTGTTCAGTCAAAAATGAAAAAAAAGCGTTTATTAGATAAAAATGTTATATTTACGATGAATAGTAGGCTGTTGTCCTGTTGTGCCATGAGTACCTTCAGTATTTGATGGAATATTTGAAGATGTTCCATTTTTTGAGGTAGGATTATTAATCGATTTTGGATTTGAAGAAGAATTCTGATAAGTCTTAGTATTAGACGGTGTATTTTGATTAGTTGGTGAAACAGACGCTTGATTTTCTGATGGAATTCTCTCCACTTTCTATAATCAACATATTTACGTTGAATTTCTATAATGTTCCCCTGCATTAACAATTTAAATAACATACCGTAAAGCTATTCTTTCCTTTTGTAGAACTGCTTTGATTGCTAGCAAGAGAACTTACTCTAAAATCAAAGAAATATAAAAAGAAGATTAAAAATGAAAATTTTCTAGAAACCCGTTTAATTTGTTAGCTATTGCAATTCCAATAGCAACGGCACCTCCAAGAGCTGCTGCACCACCAATAGCACCGCCAGCTATCATACCTATATTTGATGAACTCTGAAAATAACAAATATTTCATAGAATAAGAAACAATTATATGAATCGAGAGATTCTTCTAATGAATTTGTTCTATACCTGGCCTGATCCAACAGTCGTACCACCTCCAGCAACATTTGTTGTTGTCGTTGTGGCTCCAGTCGTAGTTGTTGCTCCAGGTGCAGTTGTTATCGTTGTTGTTATCGTTGTGACTCCAGTAGTAGTTGTTGCCCCTGGTGCAGTCGTTGATGTTGTTCCTGCAACGGCTGTTGTTGTTGTTGTGACTCCAGTAGTAGTTGTTGCTCCAGGTGCAGTTGTTATCGTTGTGGCTCGAGTAGTGGTTGTTGTGGCTCGAGTAGTGGTTGTTGTGGCTCCAGTAGTAGTTGTTGTGGCTAAAGTAGCTGTACTTGTTCCTGTCGTCGTAAGCGTCGTTAATATTGTTGTCGTAGATGCAAGAATTGGCGTCGTGGAAGTAGTAGTAGTGGCCGTTGCTAAAAAGGCAAGAGATAAACATGTTAGATTAATGATGAATTGATCTATAAAGTGAAGGATTAATGAACGGCTTATAGAAATGATTGAAATAAAACTTATATCGGCTTGTCTAAACGTAACACGGTTACGTTTTTGCCCACATATTTGTTGATTATCTCGGAAATTGTGAGAACTAAAAAGTTTGTTCAAATACCATTCGACGCAGCTCATCATATTCTATTTATGCTACAAAAGCGAAACTTTTAGGTAGGAGTCTCGAGTTTCCAGAAGGAATTTTGTGCTGCGTAACACTGTTACATAAAAAGACGTTAGGTTTGGAGTCCTCTTGCCTAAATTACAATTTCCTGCGAAACTTGATATGGAAATTAAATGTATCGAGAGCAAATTTTGTAGAGCATCAAACAAACTTTTCCAAGGTACAAAAAGTTTTCATTTAACTATCTTTACTCATTGATGAAAATCAAAAATGGAACGTAACGCTATTAAGTTTTTTTTTCGTAAATTGATATCATCTTTTTTATTCGGCATGGATTCGTCTTAATCGATTTTTTTTAAACATCTAAACAGATGGTTCTGCGACTCTAACTGATAAAGTTCGCGTCGACTCCAATAGACAGTTCTTATGTCCCTGTAAGACTCAGTGTTTCCTGCGGCAGTAAAGTGTACTTCTGCTATAGATGAGAAACGTACTCAATAGGAAGAATTTTGAACGGTCGAGTCTCTATTTGATTTTGGACTCTTTCCGTGGGATATGAGTGATTTTTAGGACTTTGGCATCTCATGAAGGAATCATTTTTTTGAGCTGAAATTTTCCAGACATTTCACTCATAAATACATCTGTTTGTGAACATAATCTTAACTCGAAATCTCGTAATTCAGTTTGCTGGTATATATCATGCCATAGACTGATGTTGTAGTAACATGTCTATAAGTCTCGACAGAAGGCCTTAGGGCAATTATCCTTTTGGCGGTTCTTCGTACCTTAATTGTGTCTACAGTGTGCACATAGTTTGAACTCAAAAGCGATCAGGCAGTTCAAAATATTCCGTCAATATGTACAAGTTACTATGATCAACGTTAATCATAGTCAGAAACATCAGAAATGAAACAAAAATTAGAGATTTTCAGAGAGGTTTGTCAGTAAATACGTAAACCAAAGGACAAAATCAGGTTTGAACTCTATCCAGTCGCTATTTAACACTTATAATAGGAAAGTTATTGCTCAATTATATAAACTCAAGATGCTACCAAAAATTAAGTTTTCGTAACAGCGATACGTTCATCTACCTCAAGATACAATATTTTTGAAAAACAAAAGTGGTGCATTAGATTCGTCTTAAAAATTTAGTAACGGTGCACTTGTTTGCTTACAAGTATTCTGTATGCCGCTCACCGAAATTTTAAAATAAGGTCTTTTTCGTCACGATGTTACAGCAAAATAGATCAAGCTCTATTTCGAGAATATCTCAAATTTAGAGGAAAGGACACAAGTTGATTATTTTACTAAATTAAAGGCTGTACTTGATAGTTTACAAAACACTTCAAAATGGGGATTCGGAGCTAAGCATCAAGGTGCGCGGTTAGTATCAAAGTAAGATAGAAAAAACTGTAACGGACCATATGGTAATTAAAACTTACATATATTTGTAAATATCCAAAGCAAAAAGGTTTTCAAACAACAAAATATTGTTTTCTACTCTTTCAAGTGTACTCTGCAACATGCTGTAAAAGTTCATGTTGAATTTTGAAATAAATACTTAATGCCTGAACTAGTGCGTTACGTGAACAAGTCAATACATACTCGTGGTGAGTGTTGTAGTAGTTGATGCTGTTGTTGTAGTATGTGTAGTAGTAGTTGGTCCCGTTGTGGTAGTTGCTGTTGTTGTAGTATCTGTAGTAGTAGTTGGTCCCGTTGTGGTAGTTGCTGTTGTTGTAGTATCGGTAGTAGTAGTTGGTCCCGTTGTGGTAGTTTCTGTTGTTGAAGAAGTGCTGGAGGATGTTGTTGACGAAGTGCTGAATGATGTTGTTGAAGAAGTGCTGGATGATGTTGTTGAGGAAGTTCTTGTAGATGTTGTTGAGGTAGTTCTTGTAGATGTTGTTGAAGTAGTTCTGGTAGATGCTGTTGTTGAAGTTGAAGTTGTCGATGTAGTAGTTACTGTTGTCAATGTTGTTGTTGATGCATTGTAGACTATTGAAGAGTAACAATCAATATTGACAGAGAAAGATTATTAATTATACATTGACTTACCACATCGGAAAAGAACGACCCGATGATTATTTTGATCAGCAATATATAAATTACCTATTGTATCGAGTCGCATACCCATTGGAGAACTGAAAGCCATAGATATAATAGTATCTCCTGTTATTGAACCAGGCGCAAATCTTTGTATTCTATTGTTTCCTGCATCCATGATATACCTATTATGTGAATATGTAGGAGAAAAATATTTTTATAACTAATGCAGTTTAATAGAATTTACATAAAATTATCTGAATCCAAAGAAACTGCAGTAGGAAGGTTTAAAAGAGATGAAGTCGAACCAGATGTACTCGTTATGCCAGCAACAGTAGTAGCAAAAGCATAACCTTGTATTAAATAGAAAATGAATTATAATTTTAAAGAAAAAAAGAAACTTTCTTTTGGAAATAAACCTTTTATCCATTGTTGCACTCGATGATTGCCTCTATCAACAACATAGACAGTACCATTGGAATCAATATGAATACCCCATGGATTATTTAAATGAAGTGATGAATTTCCAAGAACACCAACACCGGCAACCTAGAAGAATTAACAAATAAAATTAGTGAAAAATAAAATATTCTTACCAATTGACCAGCACTTGTATTATACGATAACCATAAAGTAACTCTATGATTACTATATTCGGAAACATATATATTTCCTTGATTATCAACGAAAATTGAATAAACTAAACCAAGTTTATCAAGTGTAGCACCATTTCCTCTTCCACCGGCAACAGTATAACTTAGAGGTTGATTTGGCAACCACTTTTGAACTCTATAATTGTTTGCATCTGCTATATACATTGCTCCATTTACATCAACAAATATTGATGTTGGATTATATAATTCTGAATATGATGAACCACCAGTTAATGTGTAACCAGCTACTGTACTCCCAGATAGAACTCCTATTTGATCGAAACAAAAAATATTTTAAATATGTTTTTGAAAAGGAAAATTTGATTTTTTTTAACCTAATTGAAACTTTTGAATTCTACTATTTCCATAATCAGCAATATAAATATTGAAATTTCCATCAACAAAAACATCATGTGGACTATTTAAATTCGTAGATGACGTTCCAGAAGTTGATGAATTTCCAGCTACAATTGACCAACTTGTATTATAAACACCTGTTTGACATGCTAAATTCGGTGATAATGCTAAAAAAAAAACAACATTTTCCTATGTATATTTCGAGAAATGTCAACATACTTGGAAATGCCAAAATTGTTGTTGTTGTTGGAGCTAGCAATTTAATTTAAATTTTTATTATCTATGAATTTGTTTTCTTAAGATAAACTTACGACATAAAACATTAAATGATATAATCCGATGTGATGAAGTGTCAGCAACAAATAGATTATTTGAAAAATCCCAATGCATTCCATATGGACTTGCCATCGATCCCGATATAACTGTTACACCATATAGCATTCCTATTAGCCATTTTTGAATTCGTGAATTTCCTGAATCTAAGATATACATATAACCATATTGATCAAATGTAATAGATGTTGGGTTATTAAATTGATATGACCATGGACCTGATACTCCACTTTGCCCAGCTATCGTATAACCGATAGGTGATCCTTGTATTAAAAATGAATTAATTATCAATAAAAGTATGAAAATTATTTACCAGAAATCCATTGTTGAACACGATGATTTGATCGATCAACAACATGTATTGTTTCACTATTGTCAACATAAATTCCCCATGGATAATTTAGTTGTGCTGGTGCACTACCAGCACCAGCTCCACCTGCCATCTTTAATTTACAACAAGAAAAAGATATATTTATGAATTAAATGAAACAATGAATATTACCAATTGTCCAAAATTATTATTTGATATTGTCCATTTAGTAACTCGATGATTTCCATATTCCGATACATAAATATATGTTTCATTAAGAACAAACATAGCATAACTAAGTCCTATCTTATCTAATGTTGTACCTGAGCCACGACCATTAACAGCTATAGAACCAAGTTGATTTCCTACTTGCCATTGAAGAACACGATAATTTGATGTATCTAATATATACATATTATCATTTGAATCGACATAGATTGCAGATGGATTATAGAGTTGACCTAATGTGCTTCCAGGAGATGAAGTTATACCAGCGACTATTTGTCCTACATTTGATCCTTGAAATAAATAAATATCTTGGATTTATGTTCAATTATATTTAATTGAAATAAATACCAAATGTGTATTGTTGAATTCTATGATTACCATAATCAGCAACATACATTTGTTGATATTTATCAAAGTTTATATCGTATGGACTTGATAGAAATGTTGGTGTATTGCCTCCAACTCCTGTTGTGCCAGCTATTAAAGTTGCTGAAGAATTCCAAATAGCTGTTGAACATAATGGTACTGAAGTTTGAGCTAAGCAATTAAATAAATTTCAAATAGAAACAAAAACAGATTTAATATAAAAATAAAAATTAACCTGATGGTGCAGCATTTGTTGTTGTTGTTACAGCTAAAACATATTAATTATTAAATTTGATTGATTTTTTACTAATATAAACTTACGACAGTATACAGCGAATGATTGAATACGATGATAATATGTATCAACTATAAATAAATTTCCAAATGCATTAATATTCATTCCATATGGATTACTGAATGTTCCTGATAAAACAGTTACTCCAAATGTTGCACCTTGAGCCCATTTTTGAATGCGTGAATTTCCCAAATCTAATATATATATAGAACCATATTGATCCACCATAATTCCTGTTGGACTATTCAATAGATATGCCAATGAGCCAGCATTTCCATTCATATCACCAGCAACAGTTATACCATTACCAGCACCTGTTCATTATAGGATTTACAATTAGATTCATCATTATAAGGCTAAATCATAAATACCTGAATCCCATCGTTGGATACGATTGTTACTTCTGTCAGCAATATATAGACTACTATTACTATCAACATAAATGCCCCATGGTGAATTCAGTTTTTCTGCTGTACTACCAGCACCATTGCCACCAGCAACCTATAAATTAAACATATTCAAAATACAAAGAAATCTTTAATTTACCAAAGTTCCAGCAGTTGTATTTCCGTTAAACCATTTAGTAACACGATGATTTGTTTGTTCTGATATATAAATATTATATTGATCGTCAACAAATATACCATAAGTTGCACCGATTTGATTAAATCCTCCACCATTACCATTGGCACCAGCAACAATAAAACCAACTGGATCTCCTAATTGCCATTTTAAAACTCTATAATTTGATGAATCCACTATATACATTGTTCCATTTTGTGTTACACTTATTGCTGTTGGATAAAATAATTGTGAAAGTGTACCACCAGCTGAACCTGTTGAACCAGCTACTGTTGTACTGGTGTTTGATCCTAATATCAATAGAAATATGTCAGTTTTTTTCTATTAGTTTATTTAGAATACTGAAATATGATACGAACCTGGAGGATATCTTTGAATTCTATGATTATAACAGTCGGCAACATACATATAATTATAAGCATCGAATGCAACACTATATGGATAATTAAGTAATGTTGATCCTGTTCCAGCCACACTGGTTGAACCAGCTGCTATTGTAGATGTCGAATTCCATGTTGCTGTTGCACACAGAGAAATTGTTGTTACAGCTATTGAGAAATATATATATATTTAAATATTATGCTTTTTTTTTAATTCGATTACTTGGAGGTAGACTCGTTGTTGTTGTTGTTCCAGCTATAAGTTTTCAAAAGCTTTTTATGAAAACCAATCGTTTAAATAAATATACTTACGACATAATAAACCAAATGATAATATTCTATGACGTGACGTATCAGCAATCACAAGGTTGGCAAAAAGATCAATTTTCATTGCTGATGAACTGCTCATTGTAGCTGATATAACAGTTCTACCATAACTATCTCCAGGAAACCATTTTTGAACTCTTGAATTTCCAGAATCCAACACATATAAATAACCATATGGATCTAATATAATGGATGTTGGATTATTAAATTGATATGACCATGAACCTGGATTACTTGTTGAACCAGCTACAGTTACACCAGTACTTGATCCTTTTAGATAATTATTTTTTAGATTTTATCTTAAATTTTGCTTTTCTTGCTTACCTGCATCCCAACGTTGTACACGATGATTTCCTGTGTCAACAACATAAATTGTCTGATTGGAATCAACATAAATACCCCATGGTGAATTTAGTTTTTCATTAGCATTTCCCTGACCATTTCCACCGGCAACCTGTTATTAAAATTAAAAAATTTGGAAAAAAGAAAAACTCTAAAACAAAACAAAATCCTACCAAATTTCCAGCAGTGCTATTTTGACTAAGCCATGCAGTAACACGATGATTCGAACTTTCTGATACATAAACTGTATATTTATCATCAACAAATAATGAATAACTTATGCCAATTTGAGTAACTGCCCCACCATTACCATTACCACCAGCAACAATATAACCAATTGGATCTCCCAATTGCCATCTTAAAACTCTATAATTTGATGTATCCATTATAAACATTGTTTCATTAGACGTAACAAATATTCCATATGGATTATATAATTGTGAATACGTACTACCAAAAGAACCTGAAGTTCCAGCTGCAGTTATACCTATAGTCTGTCCTAAAACAAAAAAAGTTCTTTTAATGAAAGAAAACACCAATATTAAATATATAAACCTGATTGAAATAATTGAATTCTATGATTTGTTCTATCAGCAACATACATATTGCCATATGCATCAAAATAAATATCAGATGGATTATATAATAATATTGAATTTGATCCAGCAGTTGATGTTACACCAGCTACTAGTGACCATGTTTGATTCCAATCAGCAGTTGCACAAATTTGATTTTGAGATGATGCTAAATGAATCATTCATTGAATTTGTTTTTTTCTATGTTAGATGGAAATATAAAAATTACTTGGTGATTGTGTTGTTGTTGTTGTTGACAATGCTAAAGAGAAAATAATATTTTAATTTCATATTTCTTTCTTTTTACTAACAATAATTGCAGCAGTGTCACATATCCAAGATTTTGGAGATGCCACCACATCTCCTGCGGGAGATACCGCATCTCGCGCGAGAGATGCGAGTGTGGGTGTGGGGGATGCGTCTCTCTAGAGGAGATCTTACATCTCCAGTGGTGAATGACCTCATCTCCCGAGTGTGGGTGCCGCGTCTCCCGCTGGAGATGCGGTGGCATCTCCAAAATCTTGGATATGTGACACTACTCAATAATCGAAAAGTTTGGAAAATTGT